CCCCATAAGTTTCTGGTTCAGTCACTTGAAGGAATCTAGCAGCTTTAGTAAGTCCAATTAAACGGACTTTTTCAACAGCAAACATCTTTTGTTCAAAGGACCAGTATTTTTTTGTTTTCTTTCCACTAGAATTAGGTGGTGAAGGATTTTTCACCTTAACAGATGGATTTTGTTTATAAAGAAAATCATTTGAAGGTCCAAAAATCACTTCATATTTCCAAGGAGTAGTAGGTTCAAAGACAGTCATACTACTCATTTGTCAATAATGAGATTCATTTTTAGGTTTAAATTTTTCGAAGTTCATTATTCAATAAAAAATGCACTATCTTCTCAAAAACTCTTCTAAAACAGTCCTTCAACAAAAAAGAACCCTCAACATAAAAGAACTCAGTCTTTGTTGTATAATAGAAGATGACCTCAGGTATCTCAGTTCTTTCTTCATTAAAAGAATCTTCGATCCTTCATTTATTTCATTTTTAGAACAGCAGAAGATTAAGTGGTTAAGTTTTTATATAAAAAACACAAATATTTATAACTGAATATTTATGTGATAAATAACAAAATATTAAATTATATGTTAAATTCGATTAAATAAAAAAGAAATAAGAAAGACAAAGTAAGGATGTTAGAAGTCCAGTTAATATAAATAGACCTATAGAAATTTCACCTAATTTAATTGATTGTTCAGTGTTTGATCTACGACTTAAAATATAATTAATAATCCATATTAATGGGTTACAAAATCCAATAATGAATAGAAAGAGTACTAACTGATTATATCTAATTTCATCTTGAGATAATGTCTGAAGTTGTTGAGTTTCATAGAGTAATGGTACTTCTGTTTTTGTTGGAAAAACATAAATGGAATCTTGGTAAACTTGTTGTTGCATGATTAATTGTTTATGATTTTAGTTGATTAATGAAAAGTTTTTATTTAAACATTTATATAGAAAAGAATCTTCATAATTCGGTTTGTTTGGTCCTTTTTTCTTCTATATTATCTCCTGAAATCAAGACTACATTTTTGTCCTCATCATAACTTTTCTATGTATTAAAAAATGATAAATAAATTATAAAGAAAGTAACTTATATGATATATCAATTTCTTTTTTAGTTTATATCAAATAATCTAAATATAGCTTTTTTGATTTTTCCATAGGAAAGACACAAAACGAAAATAAAAATGAAAAATTGTTATTTAAATGTTTCAAAATAAATTCTAATGAAAAGAGAAAAAAGTGAAAAAAAGTAAAAACATAGTTTTAAAAATTAAAAAATGAGGTTAAAGGAAAGAAAGACATAACAGTCAAAAGAAATAGATAAGATAGATCTAATAATCAAATTATATATGAACGGTTTTTTTAGACAGCACAAATATTTTGGTACACCACTTTCTAATATTCAAAGAAGAAAAACCGGACAATGTGACCACCGTATTCCTTCATTAGTGTATTTATGTGTAATGTATATTTGTGAACCAGAACATATCACTCAACAAGGATTGTTTAGATTATCTGCACAGTCACATGAAATTGATAAAGTAAAGAAAATAATTGATCAAAAAAGTTGTCTTGGATCAAAAAGTATTTTAATTAAAGCATTTGATAAAGACCTTGGAATATGTACTGCAATTTTAAAGAAATTTCTTTATGAATTACCAACACCATTAATCCCACAAACAAATATCAAATATTTAAAAGATTTAAACAATAACCCACCATCTGCTTTAAAATTATTTTCTACTCTTGATCCAGCAGCTGCTGATATATTAAGTTTTATATTAATATTTCTCAATTACATTACTAAATTTTCTGATAAAAACAAAATGAATGCGGCAAATTTAGCAGTTTGTTTTACTCCTGTACTTACTCGTCTTTCTGATACTACATTAGTTGAATTAGCTTCTATTAAGATGTGTATTGAAATTTTAATAGAATATTGTGATAAATTGATACCACCACAATTATATGAAGTGTTTTCTATCCCATTTAAAACATTTTGGAAGAATGATGCCGAAAGACAAAAGAAAATCGTTCATGTATTACCTCAAATTGAAACATCAAAAGAAATTTATGATTATGTTATGCAAGATAGACAATTATATCACCGTTCTGATGAATGGAAAGACATGACTTATTCTCAACTCATTCAAGAATATGAAGCATTTAAATTAGCTGCATCATATTTTTTATATAATCAATACTTTGTTAATGGAAAATGGCCAGAAGATAATACCTTTCATGGAGTAATGATGACAATTGATCAATTAAAGAAAATGATAAAAGAAAATGAATCAAAAGTACAACCTGATTGTTTTCATTCATATAATATTTCTCAATCAGAAAAAGAAATTGCTTTACCAAACACCTGTGAAGAACTTGCTAGTTTTGTAGCTGATATTCAAACAGAAATAATAACTATTCAACAACGACTAGACCAAATGCCTGATCCTGTTATATTAAAGAAAAATGGTGATATTCATACGTTTGCTGAAAGAAAATGTTTAATTGCCAAACAACAACATTGTGTTAGGGTAAATAATTATATTACTGATCATATTAAAGAAATTCTAATTCAATTAAAGGCATAGTTTAATTTTTTTTTAATTAAAATCCTTAAATTGATAAAATAACAACCAAATAGTTAATATTAAACATAATTAATGTTGATCTTTATAAAAAAAGTATGAAGAAGAAATGTTCATTAATTGTCTTGAGTTTCAATAGAACGTTTTTTATTTCTAATTGATTTTTGAACAATAACATTTTTTTGTAATCGTAAAAGATGTTTTTGTTTTTGATGAAGAATAGATTTAAGGTTGTTTAATTTCGAGTTATAATATAATTGTAAATTTGGTGAATTAGATCTACTATCTTTTATTACTTGAGTTATCCGAAAAATCTCATTTTCGATGTTAGAAATTTGTTGAGTTAATTCATTTTGACGATACCTTCTTCCTGGGGGAATTGAGTTATCATTAATTGGACTTTCTCTTACTATCATTTTATCTTTTATTGGGTAGATAACTTGACCATCAACTTGTTCATAAAACAATGGACTTACAGGGATAAATACAGAGAGATTGGTCATGTTATATGAAATTAAAGATTAACCTCCTTATCTTTTTATATTATTGTATCCCATTGTCTTTTTATTTTTGCCAGTGATTCACAAAAATAACTTCAACAAATAAACCCCTAACATTTTATTTCTTCATTAATTGGTTGGTTTATAAATATTTCTCTTCTTTCATTCTTTTTTCGTTTTTTTTCTTTCTTCGAATATAGTTTTGGTCTTGTTTGTTTACTATTTTCTTATTTTCTTTTTTAAAAAAAATTAAACTCTTTTTTTTTTCGATTTTATTTCGTTCTTTTTCCTTTGCACTGTTTATTTTTAAATTTACATCTCTGAAGATTTCTTTCTTCTTTTATTTTTTTATTATAATCTGTTTTATTCATTATATTTTCAGAGTATTTTAAGATTCTTTCGATTAAATGCTTTGTTTTTATTTTTTTTTTTTTTTTTTGCAGAGATTGTAAAAAACAGAACAATAATAAAACAAAATCCTTCTTTACCACAGTAATTAAATTTATTGTTATATATGCCGAGAAAAGAGTATAACAATTGTTTCTTATTTATTTTACTAACCAATCAAATGAATGGAAACTTGATGGAACTTAAAAATAAAAAAACGAAGACATGGCAAGTTCTCAACCAACAAGAATTTCTTTAAGTACTCGTTCTTCTGATTTTATCACTTGTGAATCTAACCCACTTGAAACAGTTTGTTTTTTTTTTTTTGAATAAAATAAGCACAGTCAAAACTTACTTGTAGCTATTATTGAATCTTACAAACGATATTCCTACTGGTGTTATTAAGCATTTTTGTTCATTGATGTCTACCCCAGAAGAATTGTTTAATAATACTTCTATGATTGTTGGATATTATTTACAAGAAGGTTGTTTAAAACAATTTATTAAATATTTGATTGTAAGAGAAATTGAAGAATGCTTCCGTACTCCACAATCAATTTTTAAAAGAAACTCAACGTATTTAAGAGTATTAAAAGTAATTTTAGAAAATGAATTAAAACCCTTCTTTAATAAGGCAATGGAAACTGTATTAGTAATTATTGAAGAAAATAAATCTAAATTAGTTATTGGAAATACAGGTGATCCAGGGGTTGAAAAATCATTAGATAAAATGAAAGACATTATCTACAAACTAACAGAATTATTTATTACTTTTAATTTCTCAAACACATTTCTTTATTTTATGTCTCGTGCTTTAATTGAGCTTCATGCAAGAACCCCAAATGTTGAAATCAGTGCTTTAAGAGGATTGTTCTTTATTCGTCTTCTTGGAAATTATTTCGTCACCAACCTTGAGAGTAAAAGTGCTGTTGAAGCAGAGTCATTAAAAACTGTTTCAGTAGTATTATCCTGGTTTGCTGAACCAATTGAAGAAGAAATATCTGAAGATAATTGGAAAGCATATTTAAAAGAATTTGCCTCTGATAAACGACAAAGCATTGATGAACGTATTCTTCAATTTAAAAATCCAGATATTGATTCCATTGAAATTGATTTACCATGGATCGATAAAGAAAAAGCTAAAGATTTATTACCAAGAATGCAAGTTGAATGGAGAAATGTTGTTCAATTTGTTACTTCAGAAAGTGGGGTATTACTTCAACTACATTTTTCTTCAGAAATGGAAACAACTAGAATTTACAATAGATTAATTAATGAATTAGAGGCTTTATCAACAAATACTAAAAAAGAAAAATCTGATTTATTATTAAAAATGACTTCAATGAAAATGGAAATTAAAGACTTAGAAGAAGAAATTAAATACCTTCGTGAGTTATTAGCATCACGTGATCCTTCTTTAGCTTATTTAAAGAGTGATGAAAAAGAACAAGATAATTAATTTGTTAGTCCTAATTTTTTTTCCATTTTTTATTAAATTTGGTTTTAATAATGATATACTACTTTTGATTTTAATTCTTTTGGTTCTATGGTTGACAAATAATCTTCATCACCATATCCTATAGCTATCATTAAAAGCAATTCTTCTTCTTTATTTATTTTCGTTTCTAAATGTAAAGCGTCAAGCCACTTATCTGATACTACTGTTATTACTCCAATTGGTATTGCTGCAAGACCTTCAATACTAGCTGCCAATAACATATTTTGTGCAATAAAACCAACATCAAAATGAGTGTTTGTATTATTATTTGATTTGTCACAAGTCAAAATAATGGCACATGGACAGTCATAAGTTAATATTGATTGAACTCCTAATCTTTTCATTCTTTCTTCATACAATATTGGGTTTAAGTTAAAAACTGTTTCTTGACAGTTTCTAGCAACTTTGGCAATAAATTGTTTGTCTAATCTTGTTAGTCGTTTACTAAATTTGAAAATATAAATTAAGAAAGAATTGTCAAACTTTTAATAACATAAAATCGTATTGGTTGTTCATCACATGCAGTGGGGGCATTTCTTCCAGCATCTATTATATGTTTTAATTTGTTTTCTTCAACATCTCTCTGAATAAATTTTCTACAGGTTCTTCTGTATAAACTTTTCATAATCACAATCTTAAAAATGATACCTTGAAATAAAAAGAAAGAATGGATTTTAAAAAAAGAGAAAAAAATATAAATTGAAAAAGTATAATATTTAAATAATAATTTAATAATAACAAACAATGAAGAAGGTATTTTGAGAATGAAGGAAATGAAGAGAAGAAAAATAAAAAATTAAAGAAAAACTAAAAAAATTTTAAAATAATTTATATGACAGGAATAGACCAAGCTGACAAGAAAGACTTCTTGGACTTGGTGTTCGGCGAAATTAAAACGCCTGCCCCAGTTAAGATTTGTGTTTCACATGCCAAAACTAAAACTAAGCAAGGAGAAAATGATGTTTTATATGCAGATTCTATAGTTTCGTTTAAAAGAAACGACACTGAAGGAACAGGAGAATTGGATGTATATCAAATAAAACAGTGTTTATCATCAACAGATGGAGTAAGTACGAATCAGAGATATAATTTAACAGAGTCTCAAATAAAACAATTGTTTAGTGAAAGGTTTACAGATAAAAGTTGTAGAGTAGATCAAAAAGAATTTTGTGATTTTATTATTTATTTAAAAAGTATTTCAGAACGATTAAAAGTTTGTTTAAGTAAAATTATAATGAAAAAAGAAAAAAAATAGTAATTAATGTAGGAATATTCAAAACAAAAAAACGTATATGACATTTATGCAGATCAATTTAAAGCCAATCCATCAATATCAAAATTATATAATTATTTTGATGAAAATGATTTTACTTTAGAAAAGATTAATGGAGAACATAATGGAGTTACAATCTCTTTCCCTATTACAGGTGATTCATCAACAATTTCATATTTAAAATTAATTGAACAACAATTCTATGGAGAAAGAACAGTTATAAAAGAAAAACAAATGACATATTCTTCAATTAATCCAATTAGACTAAGTGATTTTGCTAAAACTGAGAAGTGTAAAAATTATATGAAAATTTTTAGTAATGAAAAAACCGAGGAAGGGATTGAATCAAAAGAGTCAGTTGATCAAAAAGAAAGTGAAAAAGATAATATTCAATTAGATGTTAAAATGGTAGATATTATTGAACGTTCAAATAGAAGAAAAGAAAATCCAAATTTATTTGATTTTTATAATCCAGTATTTTCTACTGGTAGTATTGTTTCCGAAAGTGTTGAAGTTCCAATGAAAATGAATGATGATAGGAAACCATTTGTATTTGAATATACATTAGGAGGAGATGGAGAACAAATAGTTTCATCATTTTGTCTTTTAGAAGCAAACTCAAAAAGGAAATTAACAGCTGATTATTTTGTTGAATTGAATAGAAAAACAGATACATTTGATGTATTAAATCAAATAAATCCAGTGGTTATTAGATTATGGCCAGATGATATTGAAAATGGAGATCTTTGGGTATTAGTAAAACATTATAAAAGTGCAGATAATGATATTGAAACAATTAAAGATATGTATGAAAAAGGACTTGAAGATAAAAAGGGGAAAAAATATAAAGAAAAAATAGCAACAAGTAAAATTGATATTCAAAGAGAACAACTTTTAGTTATTGGATTAATGCCAGTAAATAAAATGTTTAAAGAAAAAAAAGGACAGTTATTAAATATTAAATTTTATAGAGAAGGTATTGAAAATGAAAAAAGAATATTCGAATTAATTGAAGATGTAAAAAATAAAAAAGCTAAAGAAATTGATTTAAGATGTTGGTTAGCTACTATTAGATTTACTACACTTGAAGATTGGAAAGAGGCACAATGTCATTTATATTTGGGAAATGAAAGATTAACTGAATTAGAAAATGTTCAAAAAGTAAAAGAAGAAAAAATAGTTGATGTACCAGTAATGGAAGATTTAATTGAAAATGAAGAATTGTGTGATATTTATGATAGATATTCTAATAAATTAATTATTTATCCAAATGAAGTATCAATTGGAAAAGAAAGAAAAAGATCAGGAATTGTAATTAAAGTTAGTTTAAGAGATAGTGATAATAACATTGGTGATGAGTCATTAGACCTTAAATTGTTTTATCCTCAAAAAAGTAATATTAAAAAAGGAGAAGTTGAAATGACCTCAAATGGAATTACTTCTTTTTCACATACAAAAATTGGTCAATTTTTAAGTGAATTAAAAGTAGAATTACCTTTTCCATTAAAGAAAACACATCATTTATTATTTACTATTACTGATGTATCTGCTGAAGAAACAGGAAATAGTTCAAAACCATTATATGCATATTATTCATTTTTTGAAGATGGATTTATTAACGAATCAAAGAAAGTAGGATCATTCTCATTTTTAAAATCATTAAATGGAGAAGTAACTCTTCCAATATTAAAAAATCCATCAAAAAATTATCTTCAACATACCGAATTTTATGAATTATCAAAATTTTTTTTAAAAGTTAAATTAAATGGATTAAGTACTGTTTATCCACAATCAGAAGATACATATAAATTGATTCATTATCTTATTAAATATTCAGAAAATGAA